ATCTGAAAGAGACATTTCGGCATCACTATGATAACAACCCTCAGCAAGAGAAATAGCACAGAACACATGTCAAAGGCACCTCATCATCACAAATGCAATTTGAAACTCTACAGTCCATATTTTAATCACCGTTGTGGCTGAGATTGTGACACTCACACATGCCTGCTGCCATGTTTTTCTAAATGGTTAACATCTCCAATATAAGAATAGACAAAAAAAATTCAAGTAACTGAAAAGACATGGAGCTCATTAATTCCATTCTGGCTGTCTGTGACTTCTATGGACTAGAATTTGTTGAGATTAGATAACATTAACTGTATCCTGTGCACCCAAGCTATACAACCGATGACCTTACTCTCAGTATACTCTGTGGTTCATTGATCGTACCCTTAGCTTGAAGTCAAAGGTTTTCAGGATCAATTCCTAGAATTCCTCCACTTGAACTCATAACTATGGAATACTACACTGTTAGAGGTGTAACCTTTCTGATCAGATGTTAAACCAAGGCTCTGGCTGCTTTCTTCAGTTGCATTTAAAAGATTCCATGTGCAGCTTACCTGCTGTCACAGCCAATATTTGCTTCTTAGTTAACAACTAGAGAAGGTGCCTCTGGTAATTTTTTTCAAAATTCTTGAAGCTTACTGAGCACAAATTAAATGTGTTTTTTTTAAACACTACAACAGCAACTGGAATTCAGAAGTACTAGATTGTCTATAAATCAGTCTGGGAATCTTTAAGGAGCAAGTTTCTTCCTTTGTGACACTTTCAAGTGTGACTTCCCCAGAAATTGGAATGTTTCTGTAAAGGGAATCTACAAAGCCAGACAGACATACAGAATCCCCAGAGACACTATCAAAGCCCCTGCACTAGCCCATTCCCCACAGAGAGTCTCATTACTCCATATAGAACCTCCAAACTTGAATCTTCACACAGAGAGCATCCAAAACATCTCAAACACACAGGACACCCACCTTCCACAGAAACCCTAATCAACCACTCTTCCCTGCTCTCTTTCTCTCTCACACACACACGCGCACACACACACAGCAGCTGAAAGTACTTACGGGTTGCATGCCTTTTCTCAGCACGGAGTCTACTTTTCAGATATGAAATCACACGGTTTTGACTATGACGGTCCTGGCAGGATGCTCGCAGGGCCAGGAGGTATAGGGCTGCCAGATCTGTGGAGAGTTGTACACCTGAGAAGCTAAGGGAAAAGATTCTGAAAGTCTGATAAGTCTTTCCTGTTATCATAAGCACAAATAGTTAAAGGCTTTTCCACCTGTGTCATTTCCATCAGTCAGCCTCATTACCTGGCTGCACACCAGCAAATCTTGGAGCCAGCAGAGGGCAGAATTTATTCATAAATCAGCAGGCCTCAGAGGTTTCTTGTTATTTGTTCATTGGATAGGAGTATTGCAGGCTCAGTTAGCATTTATTACGCAGGTTGCCCTGGAGAGGTAGTGTGGAGCTGCCTTCTCAAACTGCTATAGTCCTTGGAATATTGGTAGACCCACAGTGCAGTTAGGAAAGGAGATTCAGGACTCGGACCCAGTGAGATTGTAGGAAAGGCAATATTATTCCAAATCAGGACGGGGTATGGCTTGGCAGGGAACTTTCAGGCTGCAGTAGTTCCATGCATCTGCTGCACTCAACCACTCAGAAGGATGAGGTCTGGGGTTTGGTAGTTGCTATCGAACGAGTCTTTGGCATTGGTACAGGATGCACTGAATAACCTATTCTGATAACCAATCTCTAAATTTTATACCGAACACCCGATCAGGGAGAGGGAAGCCAAATTGCCGGGATTCAGCAGTATTGCTGACAGCCCAAATGAGGGAGAGAGGGAGGAAATTTTAAATGTTTAGACACTGCTGGACTGCCATTCTAAATCAGCGTCTGCAGGGTAATTCGGATTTACTGACAATTTGGACACTGCCAGAAAAGTGTTGAATTCACCGAATTTATGGAGGCTGCAATGTGAGACACGGTCAGCAGCATGTTGGAATGGTCAACATGAAAGGTAACATAAAGGAGGTTTGCAAATTTCAGGGGCAGATGAATCAATTGGACCAAAACGGTATTTCTCTGCATTTGTAAATTATGTATAGTTCTACATTAGTCACATTGAACAACCATGGTTCAACAGATGCGATGGCCTAGTGGTATTATCGCTGGACTGTTAATCCAGACCCAGACAACGTTCTGGGGACTCGGATTCGAATCCCGCCATGGCAGATAGTGGAATTTGAATTCAATAAATATCTGGAATTAAGAATCTAACGATGACCATAAATCCATTGTCAATTGTCAGGAAAAACCCTTCTGGTTCACTAATATCCTTAGGGAAGGAAACTGCCATCCTTACCTGGTCTGGTCTACATGTGACTCCAGACCCACAGCAATGTGGTTGACTCTTAACGGTCCTCTGGGCAATTAGGGATGGGGCAATAATTGCTGCCTGGCCTATGACGCCCTCATCCCGTGAATGAATAAAGGAAAAAAAAGAAAATCCATTCTAATGATCCCTACTTTGCTCAATTTGCATGAAGAAGCTCAAAATACCAAATTAGAAAAGTTTGGCATCTTTGATGCTGGGGCCAGCAGAAATAATTACCTGGATAGTTTGTTTTGAAAGTCAGTTTTCAGTCTCCGTAGGTATCTCCGTTCATCATGCAGGCTGTGGTACATGGATAATCGTAGGGCAATATGGATACTGGGATTGGCTGGCAATGACGAGTGTGTGGAATGCAGGAGGCGTGCATTCAGGGACGTGATGATCTCTTCAGAAGTTGTTTGCAGCTCTGATTTGAAACAAAATGCAAGAGATCTCATCAGCAGGAATTTTAATGGAATTTTGCTCATATGGAACAGTGCTACCTACCAAGGAAGTGTTCATTGAAGAGGCAGGCAATGCACTCCATAAATGGGCAAAAAGTCCTAAGGTATATCCATTGAGTAGAATTCCCAGCAACTCTATAAATGCTCTGTGATCTACTTATTTGGTACGAATGATACTAGAAGGTACAGAAATATTGCTATTCAATAATAAGCAGAGTTATGAGCAATGATAGGGTTTGTGGAATAGCACTTCAGTAGAATCCTTTTCTCCTTCATAAGGAAATCCTTTCTTTTTTTAAGTTCACTTGTGGGGTGTGGATTTTGCTGGCTGAGCCACCATTTATTGCCCAACACTGGTTGCTCGAGAAGGTGGTGTTGAGCTGCCTTCATGAATCATTTTAGTTCATTCAGTCCCACAATGTCATTAGGGAGAGAATTCCAGGATTTTAACCCAGTGAAGAAAAGACAATGTTTTTCCAAGTCTAGATGGTGAGTGGTTTCAGGTGATTTTGTTTGCATGTACCTGTGGCCCTTGCCCTTCTAGATGGTAGTGGTTGTGGATTTGGAAGGTGCTAAGGATCTTTGGCAAATTTCTGCAGTGCATCTTGTAGATAGTAACCCTGCTGCTACTGAATGTTGGGGGTAGAATGACTGAACTTAGAGGATGCAGTGCCAATCAAGTGGGCTGCTTTGTCCTGGATGATGTCAAACTTCTTGGGTGTAGTTGAAACCACACTTGTCTAGGCAAGTGGGGAGTAATCCATCACACTCCTGCCTTGTGCCTTGTAGAGGGTGGACAGGGTTTTGGGGTGTCAGGTGGTGAGTTACTTGTTGTACTATTCCACGCCTCTGACCTGCTTCTGTAGCCATTGTATATGTATATATATGGCTAGCCAAATTCAGTTTCTGATCAATGGTAACTCCCACAACGTTGATAGTACAGGATTCAGTGATGGTAATGCTATTGAACGGTTAGCTTGTATCTTAATAAAGATGATATTTGTGTGGCACGAGTGTTACTAGTCAGTTTTCAGCCCAAGCCTGGATATTATCCAGTTCTGACATTCAGACATGGACAGCTTTAGTATCTGGGGAGCTGCAAATGGTGTTGATCATTGTGCAATCATCAGCGAATATTTCCACTGCCGACTTCATGAGAGAGGGAAAGTCACTGATGAAGCAGCTGAAGATGGTTGCGCCTAGGACACTACCCTGAAGAACTCCCGCACAAATATCCCGGAGGTGAGATGACTAACCTCCAACAACCTCAACCATCTTCCTATGTGCCAGGCAAGAGTTTTCCTCCTGATTCCCATTAACTCCAGTTTCCTTGATGGTACAGTGGGTCAATTGCAGCCTTGACATCAAGGACTGTCACACTCACCTCGCCACTGGAATTCAGTTCCTTTGTCCATGTTTTAACCAAGGCTGTAATGAGGTCAGGAGCTGAGTGGCCCTGGCAGAACCCATCACTAATCAACTTATTGCTAAACAAATGTTGCTTAATAGTACTGTTGCTGATAACTTCCATCGCTTTAAGGATGATCAAGAGTAGATGGATGGGTTGTAATTGGCTGAATTGGATTTGTCTTAAATTATGTGCACAGGACATAACTGGGCAGTTTTGCACATTGTTGTGTAGAAGCCAGTGTTGTAACTATACTGGAACAGCTTGGCTAGGGGTGCAGCAAGTTCTGGAGCACAAGTCTTCAGTACTACTGCCGGAATGTTGTCAGGGCACATAGCATTTGCTGAATGGCCTATCCTTACCTCTTGTTCATATGTCATAAATGTGATACTGAGAAGTTATTTATTCTGATGGAGGAAGTCAAGAATGAGAGCTCACCATTTTAAGATTTAATACAGATGTCATTTGGAGGAGCAGCATCATTAGCATTTTAGAAGAGAACTTCTTGGGAGTGGTATCAGACTGGGAAAAAAACGTTTGCTGTGGGAAACTATAGAGCAGTAAGTTCAACATCAGTCGTTGGGAAATCGTTAGAATCCATTATTAAGGAAGTCATAACAGGGTATTTAGAAAGTCAAAATGCAATCCATCTGAGTTAGCATGGTTTTAAGAACAGTAAATCCTGTTTGACCAGCCTCACAAAAGGTTGTTACACAAAGTAAGATCGTATGAGGCTTATTAGCTTGAATAGATGATTGACTAACCAACAGAAAGCAGAGAGTCAGAATAAATTAGTCTTTTTCTGTTTGGCAAAATATAACTAGTGTGGTGCCACATGGTTTGGACCTTGGGCCCCAACTATTTAATTTATATTAATTACTTGGATGCAGGGATAGAAGGTTCTACGGTCAAAGACGACACTAAAATAGGTGGAAAAGCAAGTTGCAAGAAAGAAAAAAGGAAACGTACAAATGGTAATGGGTAGGTTAGGACCGGAAAGGTAACTTATTGTCTAAGTGGAGAAAAAAAACTTCAGAGTGCTTTCGGGGCAGAGGGATTTCAGTGTCCTCAAGCATAAATTGCAGAAAACTAGCTTGTAGGGGCAGCAGGTACTGAAGAAGGTAAATGGAATTTTGGCATTTATTGCTAAATGAAAAGTGCATTATGTTGGGAATGTTGCTGCAACTGTACAAGGCTTTAGTGAGATCACACCTGAAGTATAGCATACAGTTTTGGTCCCCTTGACAGGGTCATAGTTGCATTGGAGGCAGTTTAGAGAAGATTCACTTGATTGATTCCAGAGGTGAGGGTTTTTGTTAAGAAGGGAGATTGTGCAGTGTAGGCCTATACTCTCTCAAATTTAGAAGAATGAGAGGAGATCTAATTGAGGAATGCAAGATGTGGGGCAATCCAGAATGAGACGTCATGGTTTTAAAATAAAGTGTAGCAGATTTAAAACTGAGATGAGGAGAAATTACTTATCTCAAGGGATCATGAATCTGTGGAATTCATTCCCCTCCAAGTGCGCTTGATGCTGGGACACTGAGTAAATTTACAGTGGAGTTAAGACAGATTTTTAATTAGTAATTCGTAAAGGATTATGGGAAGTGGGCAGAAAAGTGTAGTTGAGGCCTAGATGAGATTAGTCATGACCGTATTGAATGGCAGAGCAGGCTCAAAGCCAACAGAGACGCCAAGAGGCAGTATTGGACCAAGTCAGAGACCCAAAACAACCATATGGACACCCGCCACCTCTGGCATGGCCCAGAGAACATAACGGGATCAAAATGAAGCACAGCAGGATTGCAGACTAAAACGCATCCCTCCCTAAAGCCCTCAATGCTTTCTATGCTCGGTTCAAGCAGACTGCCAGCAGCATGGTGTCACCTACCCTGACAGCCCCACATGCACCTGTTCCCTCTGTCACCGCTGCAGACATCAGCTTGGTCTTCCTGAGAGCCAACCCAAGGAAAGCAACGGGCCTGGACGGAGTCCTTGGCCATGCACTTACATTCTGTGTGGACCAGCTGGTGGAAGTATTCACTGATATCTTCAGCTTCTCCCTCCTGCAAGCTGAAATCCCCACCTGCTTCAAGAAGACCACTATCATCACAATACCAAAGAAAGTACATGAAAAGTGCCTTAACGACTACTCTCAAGTGGCTCTGACATCCAAAATCATGAAGTGCTTCAAGAGGCTGGTCACAGCCCACATCAACTCTAGCCTCCCAGCGTGACTCGATCCCCTGCAATTTGCCTACCGACAAAACAGTTGCACAGCAGACGCCATTTCCCTAGCCCTACACTCGTCCATGCAACATTTGGATAACAAGGACGTTAGACTTGTACTCATTGTCTACAGCTCCACCTTCAGCACCATAAGCCCCCCCAGACTAATCTCAAAACTCTGTAAATGAATCCTCAGCTTCATGACCCACAGACCTCAGTGTAGACAACTGCACATCCTTCACAATAACTCTCAACACAGGATCCCCCCAAGAATGTGTCCTCAGTCCCCTACTGTACTCCCTGCACACCCACAACTGTGTAGCCAAATTTGGAACAGATACCATGCACAAGTTTGCTGATGACACCACTGTGGTAAGACAGATATCAAACGATGAATTAGTATACAGGAAGGAGCTTGGTGTCATGGTGCAATGATAAATACCTCTCTCTCAATGTTGAGAAAACAAAAGAACTGATCAATGACTTCAGGAAGAAAGGAGGAGGACACGCTACCATCTACATTAACGGAGCCAAGGTGGAGAGGATTGAGAGCGGCAAGTTCCTAGAAGTGACGATAACCAACGATCTGTCCTGGACTTCCACATAGGTGCGACAGTCAAGAAGGTACAACAACACCTCTTCTTCCTCAAGTGGCTTAGGAAATTCAGCGTATCCATAAGGACCCTCACCAACTTTTACAGAAGCACCATATGAAGTGTATTATCTGTGTGCATAACAGTCTGGAAAGCATAACAGCCTGGAATGGCAACTGCTCCACCCAGGACCGTAAGAAACTACAGAAGGTGGTGTGCACAGCCAAGCCATCACGGAAGCCAATCTTCCATCCATGAATTCCATTTACACTTCTCGTTGTAGAGGAAAAGTTGCCAACAAAGACCCCTCCCACCCTCGTAATGCTCTCTTACAACCTCTTCCATGAGGAAGAAGATACGAAAGCTTGAACACATGGACTAACTGGGTCAAGAACAGCTTATTCCCTGCCGTTATTAGATTGCTGAATAGACTTTCAAACTTCAAATAATGTTGGTCTTGCTTTGCGCACCTTCTGTGCGGTTGTAACCTGTATACCTTGGTCTAAGCACCCTATGATCTGTATGTCCTTGTTTGCTATAATCTGCCTGTACTTCTTGCAAAAAAAAGCTTTTCACTGTACTTAGTTTTATGTGGCAACAATAAATCAACTTAAATCAAGGTGCTAAATTGTCTAATCCTCCTCCTAGCTCTTACATTTTTATATGTAGACACCTATGAATCAAAAACAAGAAATGCATCAGTCATCACACAAAGAGATGTTAAAAAAGTGAA